ATTGTTGGAAATGAGGGGACTGTAAAGTTGTAATGTCCCAAGTGTTTTGTTCAATTTTCTCTTTTGGTTTTTTCATTTTAATGATTTTTTTGTTTTGTTTTGTTTCTTTGTTTGCGGTGATGAATGGTAGAGTGCTTTATTTATTATGCCGGTATTTCATATTCCCTTGTAACTCATCGGTGCGATATACGTATTTATTAATTTAGTCACAAATGTTCTATGTTTTCATTGTTCGTTCAGTAATATGATGGATGTATATCGACTGTTAAGTCTAGGACTCAGCCCTGTGCTATTACTATTTTGAAAAGGGATGTATGTATTACAGAGTGTTTATGACGAGTCTTATACTGAGCTGGCGGTACATTATATATATATATATATATATATCTATATATGTGTAGATCGCTTTATAAAATGGAAATCTATTTATTTTAACGATTTGGAGAGAGAGAGAGAGAAAAGAGAGAGAGAGAAGTATATTATCTGAATGAAGTGAGTGGAAAGTACAACGTAGTTTTAAGTGCTTTTGGTCACCATTTTGAAATTTTCCGCTGACCTGGTTTCTGCCTGCGGGAGCTGTTTACCCCATTAAGTTTTTTACTTTGTGTTACACACTATTTATTTTCTGTTTTAAATCGTCCCGCTGCTTTGCAGAATCATTTTGGCTTGAACATTTCGTGTGGGGATTACCCGCTAACTCGTCTGCTTTCAAGGAGAAAAGTGTTTTAATTCTGAGGCACGAGACGTTGGTTCTGGCTTTAAGTTTTAGTAATATTTGTTTTTCTGTTTGTTCTTTGAATTTTTGTTGTTAAGTTTATTTTATTCATTCATTATTTTGCTTGTACTATGTTTTTGTTTTTGTTTGTTGTTGTTTTTGTTTGTTTTGGGGGGGGGGGGGGGGGGTTGTTCTTTTTGTTTTTGCATGTTGATGTTGTTGTGGAGTGCTAAATCCTGCAGAATGTTGCTTCATGTCAGGAGTGTTTGCTGATAGTAGGAGGAGAGAGGACTTGTGACTCTGTCTGCTAGTGGAGGTGTGGTGTGTGTTTTGTCACGCTGGCAGTCACCAATGTGGAGAGATAGAAAAGTGACGTCTGTATCCGAGAGTCTTGTACCTGGGAAGGGACAGAAAGATATCTCTTGATTTTGTCTAACTTGTGAACATCTAGATCTAGTCTGCCTCTTGAAACTGTGATGCTCATGATGATTATCATCTTTTTGAATATCATTCTCATTATTGTTATTATTGTTGTCATTAAAATTATTATTATAACCTGTAGTGAGAAAAAAAAAGCCAGGTATAAACATTTTGCCGCGACACAAAAGTTGTCATTGTAAGGAATAAGAAATTCGGCTAATAGAAATTCGGCCGTAACCAAAGATGACAAGGAAGACTCAGGCGTACCTTGAGTTCTTCAATAGTTTTGTTTGATGCTTTGTTTGTTTGTTTGTTTGTTTGTTGTTGACTGCCTTCTTATACTACAGCTACTGCTGCCACCAGTTTTGTTGACTTTTTGCTCACACCAAATGTGTGCACCTCTGTGCCTTAGACAAAGAATAGAACCTAAATATGTGTACTCTTTCTCATATATATATATATATATATATATATATATATATATATATATATATATATATATATATATATATATATATGTATAGACACACACAGATATTTACATTATAATATGTAGATATAGATAAATATTTATATTTTTACACGGCATTATGGTGAAATCAGGCATTCGTCACATTTTATTTCCATTTAAAAAGACATTTCTTTGTGGAGTTCACTGAAAATCAATTTTTAGAATGTAAAGTTTCAGTTTCCAGGAACACTTCAGCTTTGAAAGTCGCCGAACTTTAGTGGATATTTTCTCACTAATTTTACCCCTGACACCTGGCGACTGCCACCTCCTTCAGTCGCAAATATTTCGACATCTATTCAAGATAGATGGACATTCTTATTTCATCAACAACCAGATAAAAGAACAAGCTTTAAGATGATAACAATAACTCCAAATGCCACCAAAAATTGCCGAGCACCTGATTTTATGTGGTATGACACATATATAATGTGGTCACTTTTAAGCACAGGGGGGCTATCCCAAAAAATGCTGTTTTCAGAAAAATCGGAGGTGAAGTTTTTGCCCCTTGTTCACTTTCTTTAAAAGACAAGGAGAGTTTTCTCTTTAACCAAACAAATATACACACCAATGAAACCAAACTTCTCCTATAGGTACGGCAAAGCCCACTTTTGATGTAG